ACTGTCCCTGTGATCTTCAGCTAAAGGTGAGTGCTCTACCGCTTGAGCCACAGTGCCACTTCTGGTTTTCTAGTGGTTTATTGGAGATAAGAATCTCATGGACTTTCCTGCCCGGGCTGGCTTTGAACCGTGATCCTCAGATCTCAGCCTCCTGAGTAGCTAGGATTATAGGCGTGAGCCAACAGCACCCAGCTCAAGAAATGTTTTAAACACAACCTTCTTCCATAGATTTATACAGCTGTATGCAAGTAAAACTTAATTTGCAAGGATTTACAACATACGGTTAAAAAAATAAACTGTGTATTGGTGGCTCTCATCTATAATTCTAACTCCTCAGGAGGCTGAGATCTAATAATTGAGGTTCAAAGCCAACCTTGACAAGAAAGTCTGTGACACTCTTATCTCCAATTAACCACCAAAAAGCTGGAAGTGCAGCTGGGGCTAAGGTGCTAGAGCACCAGACCTCAAGGAAAAAGAGATAAGCCCTGACCCTAAATTCAAGCCCCTATAGGATAGATAGACAGATACACACACCCATACACATATGTATGTACACACACAAACACATGTCTGTATACAAACTAAATGTCCATCAGCAAAGAAATGTATTAAATAATTTAATGTATTAAATAATTAAATGCATTAGATGAAGATATTCATAATTCTGCAGTCCTGAGATGATTTAGTCTATATAAGGTGCCACATTTAGGTATAATCTTTAAGATATATTTTTAGAGAGATAAGCAAGATAAAGTTGATATATAAAAAGCAAACTGCATTACATGTGTATATATATATATATATATGTGTGTGTGTGTGTGTGTGTATGTGTATGTATGAATGTATGCGTACACACGCGTACATCTAATGCTTCCAAAAGGATTCTTAACAGTCAATGTAGTTGTCCTTGTGGTGGGAAGAAGTGGTTCTCTTTCTTGTTGTTAACTCTTCACTCATGGTGCAGACATTTCCGTTTGGTTAGTTTTGTAGCCCGTACTTGCTGGGCTCACTTGTACACTGGAAAGTGTTGGGGTTAGGTCTCAAAAAGGTATTTTAGATACAGATTTCTGCTCTCCAAAGATGGGCAAGGCAAATCAGCATGGCCACTTTCTCACCACTACTGAGGGAGCCTCTTCTACTTACTGTAAAAGTGCTTCACCCTTCCCACTGTTAACAGAATACTCACTCCAAGCTTCCTGTTTCCCAGCATGCTTTGCATGCCCTCAGCAACACTTGCCCAACCAAGGACACCCTGGGAAAAGTCCAACTGCTGACTGAGCCAGCCCCCCAAGAGACTCCCAACACCACCAGTATCTGGAGGGATTGAGCAATGGCAGAGATGGAATTTCATTTGGCACTTAATGCAATCCTCTCTGCTGTTGCCAGAGGCGGCAGATTCTATATAAAGCTGCCAAACCTGGCCGTTTCCTCAGTGAGGGTTGACCCTTTTCATTCAAGGGCAAGGCAATGGCGGCTGTGAGTGACTCACTAGCAATAACTTTGGTATTTGGGCTTGGAGAGCCACTGAGCCCAGCTAGACAGGGCAAGGCCGGTGGAAGGAAGCAAGACCTCTCCACTCTAACCTTGGTTTTGCAGAACAGCTACAGCTACATAAACTGAGACAGGATATAGACACATCCTGTCTGAGTTAGCAGCAAGAAGTAGGGCCCCAGGGACCTCCCACAGCAGAGCCTCTGCCATAAATCAAATTGGGAGGACAATCTAGAATGGTATGCAGGCAAGGGCTCCACCAATCTGGGAGGGGAAGTATTTGCAAGTCATTGGTCAAGGTCTGGAAGTGGAATCCTAGAACTGTTGAGGAGAGGGAGTGGAGTGGGAAGGAAGATCCTCTTTAGACCTGGGATGTCTGTGGCCAAATTTCCTCAGCCCCTGAAGTGAAATGAGTACAAAGGCTTCCCTTCTGTTCCCTTAATCCAGGCCCCGAAACACTCAATGTACACATGTGCATATAGACACAGGAGAGAGGAGCTCAAGTCACACATACACAAACACATTGCTGCTCATGAATGCACAGATCCGGTTACTATAAAGGTGCCTAATGTTTACACATCAGCCTCTATGTCTAACCATCTAAATAGGATTAGTTCTTACAACTCAAACCAGAAATATTACTATGATGATTCTCATTTGTGGATTAGGGGACTGTAGTTAAGGAAGCTTTGCTTGCTAGTAAGTAAGGTAGAAGAAGGATGGGTGAATGAAGTCATAATATTCAATATACATATGTAAAAATGGAACTAGGAAAATTGAAGGGAGGGGTGAGGTTGGAGGTGATGGGGAAGATGGTGAAAGGGGTGACACTGATCAAGATTCATTGTACTCATAAACTAAAGAATTGAGACGATGTGCAACTATGTGTATATAGAGGGAGGGAGGCTAAGACACTTTCAGTGCAGAGAGTGCAGCCAAAGTTCCCATGTTCTATAGTGTATGTGCACCCTTAGACTATTCCAAACACACTCACAGGCTTGCACAAGCATGGTGGTGTGCACACATGCCCCTAGCGCAAATCAGCAGAGCTTGACTACTCTCAGTCCTGGCTGTGGTCAGTGGCCTGCATTTCAAGCACTTATAAAAGAGCCCATGCCTCAAATTCCATTATCTTTATCATGTTAATAATTTAGTGTGATCACATGGCATTAGAGGCTCAGAATATCTTCTCTCACACAAGCTCTGATAATCGGACTTAGCCACAATTAAACACTTATTTCTAAACAAACAAACAAACCACATAACAAAACAACTAAAAACTTTAGTTCGTTCTCAAAAGCACCACAGCAGAGGAGATGGGGCAAGGCCCAGCAGTGTTTCCAAGCATCCGCCAAGAATCTCAGGACATAAGACTTCCTGTTTTTCCAAACCCGCAAAGGGTCCAGGCCAGCGGATCCCTCCAACATCTGTGCCTCTCCCTACAGCCCCGCGCGCGCGCGGATGCGGAGTGTGAGCCTGCGGTCCCTGGGAGCTTCCGTGCGCCACAGAAAGCAACTTGTTGTGCGGTTCCTGGGGTGGCCCAACGCGGGGCTCTTAGGCGTGATCTTTATCCTGATAGGGTGCAAGTTCTGGCCCAGACACTACCCAAACCCCACACCGAGAAACTGAAAGCGAGGGAACGAGCAGGGCCGCTGGGGCGCGGGGCGGGAGCCTGGGGTTGGGGACTCGCTCAGAGCCCGCCATCCCGGGGCTGCTGTCAGCCCCGAGTCTACTCGGCGCCTCGTGCGCGGGACAGCGGGTGGTACGCAGGACCCGCGGGGTGTCCGGGTCCTCCGCTGGGCGCTGCCCCCCCCGGGGCTCCCGCCCCATCCCTTCGCAGGACACTCACCATGGTGGGGCGGCGACGATGTGCTGTTGAAGCTGCTCATGGCCCACCGGTCCGGCGCGCTCGTCCCCAGGCGGGGACAGAAGACGGCGGTGGAGAGGGTCGCAGCTGGGGCTGTGGGCCTGGAAGGGTGGGAGGAAGCCCCACCTGGGTCACGATCCTCCCGGGGCGGGCGCCGAGGGGAGGGGCTCAGCCCGGAGATAGGCACAGTTCACTCTACTTATTATTTTTTTCTACAACTTGGCTGGTGGAGTTTCCACCCTTTTTTTTTTTTTAAACACACACCGCCCACATCTGGACTCTGCTGGGCTTCAGTTTTCCTGCGCAAGACCCATTTTTCTGTTTCTGTTTCCATCTGCAGCCACCAGATAGAGAGGTTGTGGAGCGTCCCCCGCCTGGAGCACCGGAAAAACTCCAGAAGTGACCTGGTGGCCTGGCTGGCACACATGAGGATGACAGACCCAAGTTTGAAATCTTGCTGGCTGCTTGCCGGGTTCACAACTATTTGCTCTCACTAAAACAGTCCAGGACAGTCAATTTTTTTCTTTTAGTAACCATATTTATGCACATATATACGGGGTGTTCTGCGATTTGTTTTCAAGATAGTGTCACTATATATTCCAGGCTGGCCTTGAACTCAATGATTATCCAGCCTCCTGAGTGCTGGAATTATGTACAGGCTTGCCACCTTGACCAGTTCAATTTATGCATACAATATGTACTGATCAAGCCAGGGCAGTTGGCCTTTCCCCCTCCCTTCCATATCTTTGTTTGGAGGCTTCTAGCTTTTCCACTTCTTCATAAAATACAATCACTCCACTGTGCTATGAAACACTAGTGATTTTATCTAACGAGAGATTTTTATCTATCTTTTGGGCTGTGGGTTATCCTGCTACAGTCTATTTTGCCCTCACCCCTTCCTAGCCTCTAGTGATTTCTATTCTCGTCTTTTTCCACTTTGAGATCAACTTTCTTTTAGATTCCACATATGAGAGAACATGTGGTCTTTGTGTGTCCAATTTAGTTCTCTTAAGAAAATGTTCCCAACTTTTATCCATTGTGCTGAAAATGACAAGATTTCATTCTTTGACCATGCATAACGTTTCTATTTTATACATATACCATGTATTAAAAAATTCATTTATGCACCAACTGACACTTAGGTGGATTCTTATTTTGGCAATTAAAAATAGTGCTGTTTTGCTTAGCATCATCTTCTATGGTTATATGGTACATAACTTTTGGGCTTTTCTGATCATCTGATGAGATTATCCTACACGTATACTAATGATTGCAAATAAGGAAAACCATGAGACCTATGTTTCTTTGGGTTTGGCTTACTTCACTTAACATGATTTTTTTCCCAAGTCTTTCTATTTCCTAACAAAATAGGACAGCATTCTTTCTGATGGAGGCTTGAATTCCATTGTATATCTATACCACATTTTCTCCATCCATTCATCTGCTAAGGGGAATCTGGGTTGGTTCTATATCTTAGTATGGTGAATAATGCTGTGATAGACATAGTTGTGCTGGTAGTTTTAGTATGTTGAATGAAATGAACCCCAAGATATGGACATAAGAGGATTTTGTTTGTTGTTTTTTTATGAACTATGTATTTTTTTGTTTCTTTTGTATGTTCTTCCCCCTATGGTATATCCCCTGTTGTCACTATATTTGATTTTGGTATCCTGCATCTTGTATATATGTTTATCTAATTTGGGGAGGGCAAGGGGAATAATAAAATGCTGAAACAAGGACCGAGGATGACCCATTGCAGCAGCAATACTCAGACACTATGTTGGAAATGAACTTAACAACTTCTGGGGGAGGGGAAAAGTGGGGGAGGTGGCAGAAGGAAGGGATAGTAGGAGAAAAACAAAGGAGGGAGTAGGAATGTTGGACAAGAAATGTACTCATTACTTACTTATGTAACTGTAACCCCTCTGTACAGCATCTTTACAATAAAATAGAACAGAATAGCGCTATTAAAAATACCTGGCATAGCAGCTCTAACTGGCCAGTCTAAGCCCCAACTGTTAGATTACATTTCAACAAATGACTGGATGCAGCAGTAGGTGCCTGCTATCCCAATTGTGGGGGAAATCACAGTGGCTGGGTTAATGGTATGTACCTTTCTGTTTCAGCAACATGGGGAAGCAATCCCAGGAGGATTTCTGGGCAACTGTGTCATATAAGAGTTTTATTCCTAGATTTTCTTGTTGTTGTTGTTGAGAAAACTCCATACTGATCTCCCCAAGGCCATACTAATTTACATTTCCTCTAACAGAGTAGAAGAGTTCCCTTTGTTCTATATCCCTGCTAGTGTTGATTATATTTATTTGTTGATTGGTTGATAATGATCATTCCGACTGAGATGATATGGTAACTAATTGCAGTCTCAATTTTTCACTTTCCTAGTGATTATGTGAGCATTTTCTTTCATATACTTTACTGGCCATGTGTATTTTTGCATTTAAAAAAGTCCACTGAACTCATTTACCAATTTTAATTGGATTTTTGTTGTTGAGTTTCTTGAATATTGTGAATACTGTCACATGGATTGCTTACAAATACTTTTTCCCATTCTGCTTTGGTTTTCTTTTCTCTCCAGTGATTGCTGTAAACAGAAGCTTCTTAGTTTGAGATAGCTTGTTTGTCTATTTTAACATTTGTTCAGCTACCACACTCAGATATTTTATAGTATCATTTGTTAGAATAATGGCAGGAAAATGTTTGTACATGTTTAATACAGGAACAATTTATTTCCAATATTTTTAACCCACTGCTGGTTGAATCCACAGATGGAGTATACATGAAACCAATGGATTAACTGAATATATGAGGACAAAAAATGAGGACAGGGAAAAGGAAGAATCTCAAAGCTAATGAAGGACTCATGACTGGGCTAGAAATACATATATCTGTATATCATGCAATTCCAGAACAATAGTGATGAGGAGATTTTTTTTAAAGCTTTTACAAATGAATGGTTGGAAGAAGGGGAGAGACAAGAAGGAAGGTGAGAGGGAGAGGAATAGAGAGGAAGAAAGAGAGTGAGAGAGAGGAAGACTGGCACAGAAACTCACATTTGTAATGTGAAATGCTAAACACAACAGAATAATCTTTCCAAAGTTTAAGGAATTAAATGGAGATGATTTTGAATCTTTGAACTGTAAATTTCATACCTGGCTAAAAGGTCAGTTGACTATGACAAAATGATAAAAAGATGTCTTTGGAGATGATATGTAAAGAGTGAAAAAGTTTTATTCTCACACAGCAGAAAGATGGACTTGAAAGAAGACAATCAAAGCAAGGGGGAGATCCAAGGAGGAGGCCCAGGATGCAGGGCCCTTGACTATGTCTAGAGGCTCATATGTGGGGACTCCAAGGATTTAGATGTAGGGTGATCAACTTGAGGTTAGGTAAGTCTGTAGAAAGTAAATAAAAAGAAAAGTTCTCAGATGAGCTTGATGGTTTCAAGGCTTTATAAAAAAAAAACCCAGATGCAAACAAAAAGTCATTGTTCAAATCTGAAGCTAAGTAACGATATCATCATTGGTGGCTACTGATGAAGAATGACCAGGTAAAATGGCTGTCCATTGCAACTGGTAAGACTGAAGACATTTTCCACTGGAGCCCAAGAACAGAAACTTCCTTCCACAGTGGCTGTGAAGTGGTAAGACATATGTGGCCCTAAAGACATCATGGCTACTTGTGTTCAGAATTTGAATGAAGCAAACACGTGAGCATTCAGTTGGTCTTGCTGATCAGAAACTGATTTCTGACATCACTGACAATATGAAAAGTTTATGTGACAGAGGTGGAAAGAGAAGTTAAATGTGGAAAGTAGGCAGATAACATTCTCATTTCCCACGCCTGGGGACTGAGATGTAGGCAGTAGGTGCCGAAAGAAAGTGTGCTCCATCAAACTTAGGAAGACAGTCACCCAAGAAAGGGACCAAACAAAAGGATAAAAGTACCTATTTGGAGAAAGCTGGGAAAGGATGTGGGAATGTCCTGCATTGTACCATTCTTCCATGAAGGGGACTCTGTAGGACTCTGTAGGGATGTTGGGTGAGGGTATGAAGAAGTGAAGCAGAATAAATGGTTTCATACTGCACCATTTGGGATGTCAAGGTTCAGAGAAGGACTAGTATTTTTGAGCTTACCTGGGACACTTGGTTTGGAAGGCATCTCTAGAGATTGCTAAGAAAGAGCACAACACTGCACACCAAAAAGGGCTGCTGGATCAGGGTGGAATGTCCTTCTCCTCTGTCCTGCCTTGGACCACTGGTGCCATTTTTGGCCTTACATGCATGGATGTTCAGCTGATGGATACTTACCAGGGGGTCACCCCTTCTCAGATATAGACTAGGGAAAGGGATAGTAATGGAGTAAACCATCAGGCAGAAGATTCAGTAGATATTATCTACACTTAGTGAGTTAAAAACTAGGATAATAGGCATATTATCAAGAAAAATGAAGTAATCAACTAGAGACAAATAGAGATGGTGAAAGAGATCTTTGAAAAACAGGCCTGTGGGTGGGGGCATACATGGTAGAGGAGGACTGCTTTTAAGACAGAGGCCCTCTGTTCTATTATTTTTTGTTAATACTGGAAGGAAATTTGTAAAATACAGGGAAGCATACAATGTTATAAAGGCCTCAGATGGTTTAGAAAATGGGCTTTATTTAGCAAAATGAATTCCAGCAGGAATTAATTTATATCCTTAGCTTTGTATAAAAAAACAGGAGTTCTAAAGTGTGGTGGTACTGTATGGCTATAATTCCAGCTACTTAGGAGACAGAGGTAAAAGGATCTTGGTATGAAGGCTGTTCTACTAATAAACACAAGACCCTATCAAAATCAAACTAAAGCCAAAAGGGCGAAAGGTGTAGATCAAATAGTAGAGTGCTTCTCTAGCAAGCATGAGGTTCTTAGTTCAAACTCTAGTACTAGAAAAAAAAAGAAATAAGTGAAAAAAAACTTTGGCTGGGGGGGATGGGAGGGCAGGGATGGTGAGGGGAAACAAAGGAGGAGGCAACAATGCTTGTTAAGAAATGTACTCATTACCTTGCTCATGTAATTTTAACCCCTCTGTATGGTATTTTCACAATAAAAACTTATTAATAATAAAAATATATATTCATGGATAGTACCGAGAAGACAGAATACAAGATTAAAGGGTGCATGTATGTGTGTATT